AAGTTCGATCACACTAAAGCTGCTTTGCTCTACCATCTAGCTAGAGGTCTTAAATTTAACTTGGGCACTCACATCTATAATCTGATTTGTGCCCACTCTGCTGAAGTAGACCCACGACACACACTCATATTTCCAAGCCTTATCTTTGGAATATGCAGGGTTTACGAAGTGCAGCTCCTACCAGCTGAGCAAGCAATACGTCCTGCTGTCCCAATCAACATTCTCTCCGCCCAAAACTCTTGGAGAAAAGTCAATCAGTACAAACAAGGACGACAAGATAACCAGGACGAGACGGGCCATGAGGATGACGTTGACATCTACCCGGAATCGCAACATGAGCCACTAGCTGATGCCCCCATACTGCGACAGATGTTTGCGACGATGACCGGGCTGAGTAAGGATGTTCAACAATTGCAGCAATCATTTACCACCCTGGACGGGTACAAGATATGCAAACTGACATTGGTATTGTACGAGCCAGCGCGAGCAGGACTCAAGAAGATGTCTCTGATTTACGTCGAAGTACTGATAGGCTAATTGGGAGGTTGGACCGTTATACTGGAATGATGAATGGCATGCAATTCCAGTCTGATCAGACATACGACATGGTCCATAATATGCAAATCGAGATGGGCCAGCAATCTACTTTGATGAGGGAGATTCTTTCCCATCTACCTCCACCGCCACCTTCCGATTGACCAGGGGAGTTCTCAGTTCCTTTCGCACCCTCCTATTTGCATTTTATTCCTTATTGTGGTACATTGGGCACAATGCACCTGTTAAGTTTGGGGGTGATTTAATCTTTTATCTTCACGTTTACTTCTTTTCGCATGATTTCGCATGATTGGTATGTTTTATCTTTAAAAAAAAAATTAACTTTTGTGTGCTTGTGTGGGTTGGATGGCCTTGCTGGCAATGATGCATACATTGGAACTGTGTAATTAACTAAGAACCGTGAAAGAATTATATGTTGAGTTAATTGACACTTGTTGATGTGAAACTTGATCTTTCTTGAGCACAATATTCATGTTCTGCATTATGAATTGATGCCTTGGTTTGTCTAAGGAGAAAGTTGAACATAGTTGATTCAAACTCGAACCAACACAAATAAATAAGACCATAAAACCTCTTTTAGGAGAATTTGGAAATGATTAAACTAGTATAGAGAAACATTGAGATAAGTAAGGATTCCA